AAATAACCATTCATGCCGTCATTAATTTTATTTTTTACAATTAGCATGCAACAGCAACAATAACAACAACAAAACAATAACACTTACAGTGCAAATGTTTTTGTATTTTTTTTTTTTGAAATTCATAAAAATTATTTTATTACTCTCTGACAAATGTATAAAATTGATATTTTACATTTCAGTTCAATTCCATTCAATGCAAAATGCATATTGTGAATGTAGTTTTTATAAGCCCCATTGTGTTTTATCAACAATGACAACAACATATTTGTTGTTGTTGTCCACTCGCTAGTCACACACACACATTTTTCAAAACATTTTCAATCCCTTAAGACTCTTTGTCAAAGCGACAAAAAGCCGAGTGGTGTTATAATTTCTAATACTTTTTCGCTGTCATTGTCATTTTGCATCGATTTATCATTCATTCATCCACTGTGTGAGTGTGTGTGTGTGTTAGTTACAATTTTCAAATATGAATGAAAAAAATCTTGAAAATTGTGTGTGAACAACAATTACAAAAAGTAAAAAAATCTGAAAATTGTGTTAATGGGTTTTGATTTTGTATTTTCATAAAATTTTGCTTTTATTATTTAGTTGCGCAATAGTTACGAGTGTTTTTGTTTTAATTCCTAAAAGATTGGGCCCCAGTATTTAAATCGGCTATTTCTGATACAATTGATTTTTTTCACTTATTGTTTGATGAAGTCATAGTGTGACAATTTTCTGCTTGATCGATTGGAAATTTTTTTCTTTTAATTTTTATGCGTCTAGAGAAAAGCGTATTAAATACTTAATGACAGTAACATTATAGGAAGTTGTACGTTTCAAATGCAGGTGTAAAAATTTTACTTAAATATTTGATGGATATAATTGTTATAAAAATAACTACTTAAGTCATTTACTAGTAATTCTTGTAAATTAATTATTTGATAATGGAAAGTCGGTATTTTTGATGGATAAAAAATAGATCGAGATTTTTAGACATTAGGTATTGAAAAGTTTTTTACGATGATACGATGATTCTAAACATTCTAAACATTTGTCACGTAATAACCAAGTACACGTATCGAATGTAACCATAATTTTCTCAAGGTCTACTTGAAGACAGTTGGTAGTTTCAGTAGCGGGATCTAATGCAAAATCCTGTACGGGTTTTACAACTTAAATCAAAATATAACTAAAACCAACACAAATAACAGAAAACAATTTGTGAAAACCCCAACAAGATTCGGAAATGGTAACTAATTTTACCATATCTAGTTAATTTTTGAAAGTTTTTATAATATGAAAGTCAACTTTTTATTTTAGGTTTAAGTATATTGAGAAGGTTGGGTGAGGGTGAACAAACAAACTGAGCAGATTTTGATTCTAGAAGCTTTGTTCAAACAATTTAATTGCACAGGGTTTCGAACATAAGCTGGACATCTCACATGTATTTATACTATACGTTCTCAGATATATCCGACAATACAATTCTACAGTCTTCTTGTCTGCCCAATGACATCCTGTGATCGAACTTATGTATATTCTACAGGTAAAGTATTTATATATATTATGCTTAGGATATTCTTCAGAATGTGGCCAATTAAGAAAGTTCTGTTTGAGTTCGATGTAAATAAATGTATATTTTAATCGAGTATGTTACGAAGCACTTATTTCAAAAAACACCACGATCTGATAAGTATGCAGCTCTCAGAAATTCGTATAGCTGCAACATTTATGCCTCATTTACGCTTTCTAAACTTCGCAACGTTTCACAAACAGCTGCGAAATGTTTAATTTTTATTTACGAATAGGCTCGCCGGACTGAGCTCAATGATTTTTTACGGCGATTCAATTGGAAACTTGACAATAATGTCAATGCCATGACGAAAATGGTTGAAAATATAATTATGCTGGTATTGAAAGTGGATCACCTCTCTGGAGCAGTAAAACTTTTTGTCCGTTCATTTAAAGCAAAAAGGATAATGCTAGTTCTTAAATTCCGAAGCTTTTCAATGACAACAAAATATTCACAGACCCGTTTGACAAAGCTATCCTTTTAGCTCAGTTATTTCCAAGAAAATCTTGACGTAAAGCGATCAAGCACTGAATGAGCTGGAAAGGGTAACAGTAACTATGCCAAATATATTTTTTAGAGAGCATGCTGTTAAAAGAAGCTTAGCGGATCTTAACAAAAATAAGTCTCCTGGAGCTGCATACCAGCTGCAGATCGTTCATAGTATTATTAACTTCCATCTTGTCAAATATGTAGAGATCACAGAGTAAATTTAACGACTAATGTTTTAAGAATTCACTCAGAAACATCAAAGACTTTTTGATAAATAATAAATTTATGGAAGACGTAGATATCCGCTATTCTTTTCAATCGGGCAACACAGCAACGGACTCAGCAGCAACAAAATGCGAAGTAGGGGAATGGGGAATGGATAAAGAAACCTTGTTAACTACCTACCAAATGATTGAACTGACTAGAAGAAGTTAGCGATACACAGTGGAAGAAGCACCAAAGTAGCCTTTAAACCGCAAAGGGCTGTATTCGAATGAAGTCAGAAGAACACATACATGACGAGACGAAGATGCATTCGGTTAAGGCACATAACACCATACTATCATAGTAGTCATAGGAGGCGCCACATGGAACATAAATATAAAAAATATAAAATCTTTAACAATGTGAATGCATACCAGCTTTCTAAACTCAATTCGAACAGAAAAGTGTGATATAAAACGTAAACAGACACCAATATCACATCACGACCACCAACCATAGTTCGATGGTACATCCAAACAGAATTAAGGAAACATCGAATATAAAAGACTTTGGAAACTGCGCAAAATTTGATACCAAATTGGTATTTAGATTGTGGATTGTGAAATCCAGCAGTATGATGACCAATTAAAGTTCGAAAACATTAAAAGAATATTTGCAATAATGCTAAGAGGGGCATTTAAAACAGCCCCCCCAATCACAATCCAAAGCATTTTTGCACAAAGAAATGGAAGCATAGCTATGGTCATGTCAAGATTTTGGATATAATCAATGTTAGATATTTAATGGATTTTATAGTATCTTAATCCTTTTCACAATCCGGGATTTGTTAACTACATCCCAGAGGCACCTTTCTAACACATTTCACTTAAGGCAGGATGTCCTCCAAATTTACACAGACTAATTAAAGAAAAGAGTCGGTTGAGGAATCTATTCGAACAACTATTAATCAGGCTGCAGCATAGTCCAGGCCGAAGTAATGGTTATTAAAGTAGCCGAAGTGCAAGTTCAGTATCATAGGATATTAGGCGGAAATATCCTTTTACTTTCTCAATTGCTTAAGAATGTTGGGTTCCTCTTGATGAGTTAGCGAGACATTCGACTGTTACCCTAATGTACATGCATTTGTGACAATGGAAAACAATATATAGCAAAGTAGCTCCAGGAAACCCACTCCCGGGTCATGTTACCTTGTTGAAATCTATATCTTGGTGTTATTGCAATATCCCGCGGAAAAGAGATACTATCAATACCTCTAGACTGCCGGGACTATAAACTGGTGATGATCAAATATATCCTCGGCCTTTCCTTGGAAAGATTTGACATGGGGTCGAACCTGAGCATCAGATAATCTGGAAATACGGGTGGCCAGTTGCTTGCTGGACTTTGTCCAGGCTGGTCAGTTGATTGATTCTTCTTCGGGATTCACGCAGTGGTTTATACCCAAATTCGCGGGTAGAGAATGTTGTTTTAAGGACTGATATATCCTATACCATATATATCTTGATTCTCTCTCCGGTGCTGTTGCCATCTCAACAGATGTCACTGGGTGATATGACAGAGAAACTTATCCTGGATTCCTAAACCCATTAAGTATCTCTTATTCTTCGCGTAGTAGGGCGCCAGTATAGGTTGAAGAATTTTCAGGTTGATACTTGGTAGTTGCCTGTCTTTCTAAAGATCGTTCTTTATGGTTTTAGAATGAAACTGATGTAAGTTGGTGAACGATCGTGAAGGACTTCTCTGTCCTATAGGAGACTAGTACTGATCTAGTTGACCTTTTACTTCATGGAAGATCTCGGTGCTGTTGCCATCTCAACAGGATGCATATTGTTGAGGCCCATCATTCAATTTGTCGGGGCAATTATTGGGTTCGATTTGACTTTGGATATGGACATTGTGATGTGGTTGTGTGACTGAGGAACCAGAAATCTGCCTGAGCGGATCGTTAAAGAATGGAGACGCTACGGCGTCGCTCATGACAACGCTTATGAGTTTGTGAGTTTGTTGGGGTTTCATTACTCCTCTTTTCTGATTGGACCGGCATTTTTCCGCCTGTCGGGATAGTGTTCTTGCTACCTGTCATACCGCAACGTGATCACTTGGCAAGAGATTAGATAGCTCGAGTATTTTGGCAAAGTGCTTGTACATGGACCAGCACAGCCATGTACACAAATTACCAGCTGAGTGTTCTTCATCGAAGTCACTCGATGGCGTGGTAGACCGTTCTCAAGTCTACACATTGGATGAAAAATTCCACCCGTGAAATAAGGCCTTCAAGGCACTTAGACATTTTATGGAAACCAAAAAGATTTGCCCTATTATGTATATAAAAAGGTGACATTCATCTAAGAAAGCTTATAGCGGTTATAACCGGTGATTTCCCAGTTGCAAATCCGCCCTGCAGAAGTTGTATGAAAGAACACTGTGTATTTCTTGTCTGTATTAAATCCAATTAGAATTATATTAGAAACATTTACATGATCCATAAACATTTTATCAAATCAACATGTTTATATTTAACAAGTTCAATGCAACATGTATAGCAACATAATAGGAAATCAACCCTTAAAATTAGAAATGTATCTATTGCTTAAACAAACAACAAATGTTGCAACATTGGTGTAAAATTAGCTGTACGACTAAATGTTGCATGACCAAATACACACACGCACAAGTTGGAAACCCAAACAGCACGATCGGTACACAACAGTTGTTTAGATACGTTTGTTTGCGATACAACCATGAACGCTTAAACGAAACGAACGGTTACAAACGGAAATTGTGAGGAAATAAATTTTATTTATTTAATCGGTACGGCGGGAAATATGTGTATATTAACGGATACTTGACGAAATTTTGTGTGTGAAATTGGAAAGTGTATTATGAAAATTGCAAATTTAAAAAGGATTACAAATTTATAAAATAAAAAATACTTGAAGAAAACAAAAATATTTAAGAAAATTGTGCAAATATTTGATATATCTAAGAGAAAGTGTTAAAAGGATATTTAAAGGATAATTCATAATAAGCTGTTTTTAACAAGGTACTTGAAATTTGGATGGAAATTTGTGTTTTTATTAAGTTGACTACTCCTTGTACTTATCACCTTTAGAACTGACTTCTTGATTTTAGAAAACCTATTTAGGTTTTGTTTACAATCTGTCTACAGAATACCCCTCTGTTGGAATCATGTCAATATGTTTGTTTGTGGTTTTATATCGTTAGTGTAGCATTTGTTCGTTTACTAATTTTTTTTTATTTGTTAAAGATATTTAACAGAAAATTTGTTATTATCCATTAGATAAACAAAACATCCATTAGCACTTACCTTTGAAAACAAAATTTTGAAATTTTTCCTAAAGAGGTTTTTGTTTTTTACCATACATTTCCATTTTCTAATAATGTCTGAAATAATTTATATTTGTTTACCTTTTCTCCGGTGTTTGTCTTAAGTCTCTAAAAAGTGTTTGCATATACATACAGACAGACAGACATTTCAATGAAAAAATATCTAAATATTTGGTAAATATTTTAGATTTTTTATTTATTCTTGAAAACCTCTATATGTACTTGGTGTCTGGGTAATTGCTTTATTGTGGTCGCCTTATGCAAAGGTACTCCTTGAGATTTTATTAATAAGTGGCCATAAATTTTATTTACCACAAAACAAAAAAAGTACAAGAAATCTACAACCAGAGATTATATACATATATAGTTTTTGTTTTTATGCTTAAGGTTTGGTGTTGATTGGTTCTTAAACTTTGTTTTGTCTATTTTTCGATTTTCAACAATAAGCTTAAATATCTAATAAATTTACGGTTGTATCTATATTTGGGTTAAGTCGTTTTGATAAACCTAGGCAGTTGTGCGCTTGATCTATAAATTTATTAGAATTGTCTTACAAACTGTCATGTTAACAATTGTAATTCATTGAATTTGTTTATTTCAAAGGTACCTGTTGTGTGTTCTGTTCAATTTAACCACATTCCTAAATTGTGGAATTTTATATGGATGTCAGTTTGGGTTATGTTAAATTGTTTGATATATGAATCAAGTAGTAACTGATACTCATAGAAGACTTCAAATTGCTCATCATCGTTTTCTATATATCTATTAAATTACATCTATTCAATGTTTCCTCTAGTTTCCACACAAAGCTGCAGTCAATAACAGACGGGATCTCGTTTTAGAAGTGAACATAGCTTCCCTATACGCATGTCATTAAGCTTTCTTGAAGTAATTTTTTTACTTTTTTCCATAATTACGGGGGTGGAATATTGTGGCACTGGATACTAAAATCAGAATTCTTAATCGTAAAGCTTACTGATCGGAATTTTTAAAGTGTTTTTGCAAAAGAGACAGACTTTCGGTTAGAATTATAGCTTCCCTATAAGCATGTGTAAACTCTATTCTTAAATGTTAGATAAATAGGTCATAAAGCTTTCTTGAAGTAATCTTTTTACCTTTTTCCATATTTTACGGGGGTGGAATATTGTGGCTCTGGATACTAAAATCAGAATTCTTAATCGTAAAGCTTACTCATCTGAAATTTTAAAGTGTTTTTGCAAAAGAGACAGACTTTCGATTAGAATTCTTTGGGGTTACATTAAAACGATGGTCTAACAACGTTCGAAAAGCTTCAGGCTAACATCGAATACGTAATTTTCCGTATTTCGGTCGAATCATGCAAATCAGATCCAATGTATTCATTTGAAACCGCTCTGTCGCCTCATATATTTTTTAAACGTCGTTGTATTTTATAAACAATGACCTGCTCGATGAATCGCGAGCATTATCAACTGAAAGTCCATTTTGTGGACTTAAGGGTAAGATATATAAATATGTATATCGAAGAAGATATGTCAGATTATCTTCTTCGATATATTTTTAAAGCTGACAGGAGGCATACAACATTTTATAAATAAGTTGTCTTGGTGCTGCTATGACGTCTCAAAAAGGGCCAAAGATGGCGTTCTATCAAACTTCAGGGCTTAATATTTCGAATCCAAGATGTGATGAGGATATTTTGGGGCCTCTGGTTCAAAAATTTGTCGGCCTGTGTAATTTAAGTCTAAAAACACAGCAAGTGTTAGACAATCAAATTGATGGGTCGATTATGTATGGCAACCGAACTTCAGTTGCATTGCCAGCTTCAAAATAAGTGAATGATTTCAATCTAGAAATGGTTTAAGTCAACCAAAAACTCATTAGACGAATAATATTAATGAATAAAATATTCATTATTTATAAAGTTTCCAAGCTATTGCTAAAACAGCGTCCAGTATCCACATCATTTTAGCAACTGGCAACGCAACTGAAGTGGCAACAGAGATAAACATATAATCGAGCCCTGAGAATGCTCTTTAAATAAAATTTCTCAACCAATTCTCGTGACAGCTTTTGAACCATTAGTGTAGGCTGAAATAGTGTAGTGCCCCGATTTTGCGGCAGACTACTGCCTGTATATCTTTTGTAAGATTTATGGTCTCGTGTCTCAATACGACCGACTCTCTGAGTTTAAGAGATTTAGCAGAAATGCCCTTGATATAAGTTAGGTACTTCTAGCATTGTCTGTGGGGAGGTTGTTGGTAAGGGTTATAGCGGGTACCTCCAGCGTATAATGTAAGGTTGATTCGCATATCTTTGCAAAAATAGAAACTACTTTCGATTCTTAGTATTACAATTCCTCAAGATCTTAGAGTGGTACTTGGCGTCCCCTGAGAATTCAAAATCTTCCAAAATAGGCAAGGATATTTAAAAGGCCGTGCCTTAGTTGCTTTGCGGAGGGGCTGTGGGACATTTTTGTCCACACCTAATAGACAGAGATTATTTGTGGATCTAACATCAATATTTAGTTGTATTATATAGGAAATGTCGATATGTCTTCAATTTTATATAAATTAAGAATTTTACTTGAATTCTTCAGATTTCTGAAAAATAGTTACAATCTTTTCCATTTCGTTGTGGGGTCATATATCATTGTGAGACGTAAAGCTTCCCCGTTACTAACTCTAGAAAGACAATTTCATACATCCTCTATCTGATCAATTATATAATGACTCGAATACAAAATTAACAATTTCTTTCACTCATTTCTATTTTGAACTCAAATTTTGACCTTAATTAATAGTGATTAAAAAATTTCAGGTACCCAACAACACACTAAAATGAAAATCCTTCAACACAATCGCACACAAGTCTATTTATTGAATTAATTTGGATCAAGAGATATAAAAAGGCGAAAGACATAAAAAACACTTGAAATTGAAAAAAAAGAGATCAACAATAAAGCGCCACTAACCAAGTAATTGTATTATTTATTAAAATCATCAGTATTTAACGTAAGATCAACAAACGCCTCTCATAAATTGTAAATAAATAACAGCAACAGACGACAGTCGTCGTTGACGGTAGTAACAGCAGCAGCAGCAGATAACGAAAAGAAATAAATAAATATCACTATCTGTGGTGGACTCATGTGAGAACAATTTATGACGTCACACATAAATAAATTATAAATATTATTACAACTACATTAAAAGACCAACAAAAGAGATAGAGAGCGAGTGATCGTGTAAATAATTTGCACTATATAAAACTCTAAAAAGTAACAATAACAACAATTTAAAGATTACAATTCAACAATACACTCGCGACATCAATTTTCTTGACAAAAAAGAGTATCGGAAAAATTGAAACCATTATTTGAAAAAAAAAAACAAAGAAAATCCACAATGAATAGTTTAAGACCGAACAGTGTTAGTGATACGACTCCCCTGAAGAGGCTGGAGAGTCAGAGCAGTTGTAGTGAACCATCTTCACCGACAATCAATGGTGGTAGTGCCTTGTGTGTGGGTGTAACGACAACAGCAACAATTGCCGCAGCAGCAACAATCGCTAATGGTGGCTGTTTAGTGGGTGTAAATGGTCTCGGTGCTACTGGTCACGGTAGTGATACAACAACTTCGTCATCGACCACAACAACAAGTACAACATTGTCTTTGAATAATCATCATATTAATAATTACAGCAACAACAATAATAATAAAAACGAGAAAAGTTTAAATATTTTCGGAAATTCCGGTATTATTGGTGGCGTCTGTGGCGGTGGCGGCGGTGGTTTAATTGGCATTGGAACAGGTGATAAACATAAAATGGAGTTGTATGGTACCCGGAAAATATGTTGCCGTTTATTGGTGGATTTAATGATACTGGCCTGTGGTAAGTGATTGTATCCATAAGCAGTTTTATGGATTGCAAATATTTGGAATTCCATAAAAATAAATATTTTTGTAAACAACTTTTTTAAGTGTTGAGGAAAATAATAATAATAATCTAAGAGAAACAAAACTTGCTCAAGTGGGTTTAAAAAATATATATTATGGGTATTCACTTTAGTTAATCAAGTAAATTAGTCAAGTTATATTACTACCGGTATGTTAATATACATACATATACATATGTATGTATGTATGTATGTTGACCAAAGGCTTTGCTATCTACAAAGCTATATCCGGTACTACAGACCATACTATAGAATAGACTATAGACCAGACTATAGACCAGACTATAGAACAGACTATAAACCAGGCTATAGACCAGACTATAAATCTAGACTAGACTATAGACTAGACTATAGACTAGACTATAGACTAGACTATAGACTAGACTATAGACTAAACTATAGACTAAACTATAGACTAGACTATAGACTACTAGAGACTATAGACTAGACTATAGACTAGACTATAGACTAGACTATAGACTAAACTATAGACTAAACTATAGACTAGACTATAGACTAGACTATAGACTAGACTATAGACTAGACTATAGACTAGACTATAGACTAGACTAGACTAGACTATAGACTAGACTATAGACTAGACTATAGACTAGACTATAGACTAGACTATAGACTAGACTATAGACTAGACTATAGACTAGACTATAGACTAGACTATAGACTAGACTATAGACTAGACTATAGACTAGACTATAGACTAGACTATAGACTAGACTATAGACTAGACTATAGACTAGACTATAGACTAGACTATAGACTAGACTATAGACTAGACTATAGACTAGACTATAGACTAGACTATAGACTAGACTATAGACTAGACTATAGACTAGACTATAGACTAGACTATAGACTAGACTATAGACTAGACTATAGACTAGACTATAGACTAGACTATAGACTAGACTATAGACTAGACTATAGACTAGACTATAGACTAGACTATAGACTAGACTATAGACTAGACTATAGACTAGACTATAGACTAGACTATAGACTAGACTATAGACTAGACTATAGACTAGACTATAGACTAGACTATAGACTAGACTATAGACTAGACTATAGACTAGACTATAGACTAGACTATAGACTAGACTATAGACTAGACTATAGACTAGACTATAGACTAGACTATAGACTAGACTATAGACTAGACTATAGACTAGACTATAGACTAGACTATAGACTAGACTATAGACTAGACTATAGACTAGACTATAGACTAGACTATAGACTAGACTATAGACTAGACTATAGACTAGACTATAGACTAGACTATAGACTAGACTATAGACTAGACTATAGACTAGACTATAGACTAGACTATAGACTAGACTATAGACTACTATAGACTAGACTATAGACTAGACTATAGACTAGACTATAGACTAGACTATAGACTAGACTATAGACTAGACTATAGACTAGACTATAGACTAGACTATAGACTAGACTATAGACTAGACTATAGACTAGACTATAGACTAGACTATAGACTAGACTATAGACTAGACTATAGACTAGACTATAGACTAGACTATAGACTAGACTATAGACTAGACTATAGACTAGACTATAGACTAGACTATAGACTAGACTATAGACTAGACTATAGACTAGACTATAGACTAGACTATAGACTAGACTATAGACTAGACTATAGACTAGACTATAGACTAGACTATAGACTAGACTATAGACTAGACTATAGACTAGACTATAGACTAGACTATAGACTAGACTATAGACTAGACTATAGACTAGACTAGACTAGACTATAGACTAGACTAGACTAGACTATAGACTAGACTATAGACTAGACTATAGACTAGACTATAGACTAGACTATAGATTAAGCTATAGAATAGACTAGACTATAGAGTAGACTAGAATATAAACTAAACTATAGACCAGACTGTAGACAAGACTATAAACTAGTGTATTAGTGTAAATTAGTCTATGGGATATTCTTATGAAAAGTACGGAAAATGATGTAAAAAAAGTACTATAGAACTGTAATGTCCATGCCTGATATGTAACAAGCGCTATGATCAAGGTCTAGGATCAACTCACGATATAAATATATAATAAAAAGTTGTTTTGTTGTTATCTTTACAACATACATGACCCACTACCGTTAGCAAATGCTACAGTTTTATTGATTAAGTTCAAGTCTGTCAATATTTAAATATCAACAGACAAGATTTGAGTTGATACAGTAGTAAGTAATATTGACAAATTAAATAAAGAAATCAAATAGTAAATTTTGCATTAATTCTAAGGAATGGGTAATAACATATTTAATTCATACTACATATAAGTGTGGAATATAATTAAATTTTGTTTTTCTTTTGTAAAGTGCAGTTTTTATTACAAATTAAACTTTTAGCTTTTTTATAAAGAAATAAATTTATACAAATTTTCTCTTTCCTGATCTTTTTGAATACCCCTATTATTTATATTTATTGTTTTTCTCGCAACATGAATCACCTAAAAATTTCGGTTGAAGATGTGTATTAGTATAATAAAATTAATAATTTAAGATGTATTTTTTTGCAAATTATTTTCCACTGAATTGTTTATTGAATCTTCTTTATTCTTAATTAATTATTCTTATTGTGTTTATTAATTTCTATACTTTTACTTTCATTCATGAAGAGAATTATTACATTCTATTTCTTTTTGAAAATAAATGTGTCGTTATCATCATTTATTCTCAATTGAACTATTTGCACTTTGCTCGTGATCTTAAAAAGCAACAACAATATGTACAATAATATCATCATTTATGAGTTATAGTATGAGTATTTAATTTTACATTTTAATGTGAGTAATTTAAATAAAACATATATTATTGTTTGTGTGAAATAAAAGAAAAAAACTAAGAGGCGAGTGCGATCAATTAGCCGAATCTTCCGCAAATGTTCTCATAAATCAATTAAAAGAGAGAGTGAGAAAACGAACGTATTAGCAATTCGGAAGCGTTGAAAGTAGTGTCTTTTTTAAAGTATTTAGTCGATGTTCTAGTTTACATGTTCTTTAGTTATTCTTAATGAACTTTTGGTTATAGGTTATGGAACTTTTGTCGTATAATTTCTGATCCTCAATTTGATCGATAAAATTTTAGAAGGAATGTTAGTTAGAAGGCTCACAATGAGTTGTCTTCAAATGTATCTGCGATCTGTAGTGATCACAAGGGATGGAGAAAATTCGAATGCCGTTAAAGCTGGAAGTGATTCTGAGCAGTTTCATCTAGTTTATAGTGGATCTAGTACCTCAGAGTAAAGGTATGAAAATGTATTGTTTAAATCGCATCTCATTGATTAAATTGTTATAAAAAAACTTTAATTTTAAAACCTTTTGTTGAACCTTGTTCTCTCAAATGCATCATGAAAAAGTTTGTAATGAAATTTTTGAAGAGATCACTTCATAAATCCCTTAAGGTTCGAATTAATAAATATGCTAAAATTGCTATGCAGAGTGTATAGGTAAACATTTATTAATTAATAATCATTCATGGTGAATTATTCTGATTGTTTTGTTTAGAGAATATTTAGAATAGAAAAAAATGCAAATACGCAGAAAATGAAATAAATAAACCTCGATTTGTTTTCATTATATTATGAATATTTTTGCGCATTTTCATTGTTTATTTAATCAAAAGTGTACTTCAACCAACACAACATGCTCTACATCTAAACAAAATATTCATTAAATTTAATATTTCTTCTTTTTGTTTGTTTTTGTGTTTTACGACTGTAAAAACTGAATATTCATTTATATATAATTTACATACATTCTTCATTCATTTATCCAGTTCCCCCTAGAGTTGGTTATTTCAAATAATAAATTTTAAAGCAAATGTTAGTCCATAATATTCAAATAATACACAGTTGGATTTATGCTTTATGTTTTTTTCAAAATATTTATGCTTTTTATTTGGTACCCTAATCACTAGTAAATATTTATTTCCCTATAAGTACGTACTACATATATACATATGTACCTAGTTTTTGCAAATACATAAATTGGTTTAGATTTTTATGTTGATCGACAGAGTTTTCCCCTCTTTTTTAGATTTGTTTTTTTTTCAATTTACATTTTTAGTAGATTTTTTATTTATGTTTGCAAGAGGGGTATCAATTAGATCGTTTGGTGTGTGAGATTTTAATTTTAAGTCTAGTTTACTAGTTAAATGTACATACTAAATGCGATAAAGTACCCTTCGACCTGCTTTTGTTTAGCATATTTGAAATTTTTTAACAGTATGAGACTAAACCAACATGTTGAACCTTGTACTGGTTGCAGAAATTTTACAACAAATAGAAATTGTTCTCATTGAATATGAAAGTATGAGAAAATCTTTAAACCAAAATCTATTTAAGTTCCACAAAGAACAGAACAAGATGTCAGTGAAAATCTAGAAAACTTTCTCTGTCAATTGTCAGGTTTCGTTGAAATTTATGGACTGGACTATAGACTACTCCATAGACTAGACTAAAGACTAGAATGTAGATTTGATCTGAGACTAGACTAGACTAGAGACTAGACGATAGACTAGATCTATAGACTAGACTATAGACTAGACATAGACTAGACTATAGACTAGACTAATAGACTAGACTATAGACTAGACTATAGACCTAGACTATAGACTAGACTATAACGACTAGACTATAGACTAGGACTATAAGACTAGACTATAGACTAGACTATAGACTAGACTATAGACTAGACTATAGACTAGACTATAGACTAGACTAGTAGACTAGACTATAGACTAGACTATAGACTAGACTATAGACTAGACTATAGACTAGACTATAGACTAGACTATAGACTAGACTATAGACTAGACTATAGACTAGACTATAGACTAGACTATAGACTAGACTATAGACTAGACTATAGA